GAAAAATCATATGTTAGATTAAGATGCGTGCATCATGTAGCTTGAGCTATACATGTTTGTATGTGCTTGTGAAAATGAATGTGACTTTCCAACATTTTCGGATGTACAATTATTATAGACTACTAAGATAATATTTTAAGTATATTTTCGTTTTTTAATTGTTATTAAATAGTATCTATTTCATTTTTTTGTACAAATATTAATCCGTGTATAATTTTAATTTCGCTTACTTAGCATGTAGTTAGTCTCAAGTTCGGATGAAGTAACATGTTTTTACAACTTTATAATTCTTCTAAGAAGATAATTTCCCTAACAAATTTTTGTCTTCATTTATCTCGGGGGGCCGACAATGTCAATTTTCATTGTTTTACAAAAAATAATGGAGACCCATCAAGGAGCGAGTCGAAGCGGGGTATTTGGAAACGAGCTAGTTCGTGCTCAGCTCATCCCATACGCTAGCACGAGTTGTCTCGCGTGGTGGGTCGAGTCAAGCCCGACGTTGGATTACTTATAGCTAATTTCACATTGCTGTGGATATTGAAAACTTAGTTTCAATTTCTTAGACTCAACTTCTTGTCGTTTGTTGACTTATACTGATTTCTTTACGTGATGTAGTTAGCGTTGTTTAAAGTTTGAACTTGTACAAGAACGTGAAAAGAAAAAAATAGTAGTTGCTAAAATAAATAAGAAAACAAAAGATCGAGTTCGCAAGAGTGAATGTAGACTTCCTTTAAGATGATTAACTATAAATCCTTATATTTCTCGTGTTTTTACCTTTTCCGCATACTGCATTCATTACTCATTACTATTAACAATTTTCCTAGGAGATAATTGTAAAACTTGGAATAACCCTAAAATAGAAGACAAAGTTTTGACGCACAAGGAAAAAAATAGATTAGCTCAATGGAAACTCACCCACGTATGCATATGTATATGTACAAATATCATATGTATATATATTGTCTATAAATGTTTTTCCCTACGTAATGTTTATTTATTAATTCATACATTAATAAAAGCAGAGAAGACGGAAAGAAAAAAGAAAAATACAAAAAAAATCTGATAAAATAAACGACCCATTCGTATTATCTTTTATTTATTCATTTTATTTAGTAATGTTAATTAACATTATTGGTGTTTAACATCAATTTAGATGATAGCGTTAATGACGTTAACTACTGTGTTAGATGACATTATTTTTTTTTCTTCGGTCTGCATGCATACCCATTGGAACAATGTCCAATTGTTTCTCAAGGCAATCAAATTCTTTTTTTTTTAATGGAAATTAATGGTTTTTTTTAGTAAAAGGTACAAAAAAATCATCGTTTATATATTATTAATCTACATAATGAATAATCTTAAATGATACTAGCGACAATCAATCGGTTGCCAATTAACTTTACTCAAGTGATTGAAAAAACTAATACATCTTAGATAATTATTTCTCTTAGAAAGCACAACTGGAACTTGCTCCAAGACATTGTGTTCTTCCTGCGCTTGTAGTCTAACATCTCTCAACTTTCAACAGTATCTGAAATTCAATTGAGAAAGTACCTTCTTATGACCAACAGGAAGTAGGTGGTGTTTCGGATTCGATGGTTTTGATGTTTTTTCCAAATATGTGGTTGTTTAAAATCAAGAATGAAATGATGAAATCAATGTATGGATATGCTCTTGAAAATGTTATAGAGAAGAGGTGCAATGAACAACCACATCGATTTTCGTGCATAGGTTGGGTTTTATAAGAGATGATGATTAAGTTGAATGAGCCGAAAAAAAAAAATACTTCAAAACAGCAAAATAAGATTTTCATTCTATTTTTGTTGCTCAAGCGCTAATTAGACAAGAAACTAGCGAAAATGAGGCACCGTGTTTATTCTCTTTTCATGTTTGAACCCTAGATATCATAACCCAATTTATACAAATTGCACTCTATGTCCTTGATTTTTACAACGTGTTACAAATTAATTTTTTTGTCCACAGAATTGCCAATTTAGAAACCTAACATGAACAATGTTCAATTGTTTCTCAAGGCAAACAAATTTTGTTTTTTATGGAAGTTAATTTTTTTTTTTTTTTTAGTAAAAGGAACAAAAAATCATCGTTTATATATGATTAATCTACATTATGAATAATCTTAAATGATACTGGTGACAATCGATCAATTACCAATTAACAAACTGAAGTGATTGAAAAAACTAATACATCTTAGATAATTATCTCTCTTAAAAAGCACAACGGGAACGTGTAACACGAGCGATGACATTTTACTATTTCAATCGCTATTAGATTGTTCAATCTACTTTATTGCTTTATAAAAGTAATAATATTAACGAAAAGACCTGTCTTTTAAATATTGAAAAATAAATATCAATAGAAAATATTTTGTTGGGAATGTTATAAAAAAAAAAAAAACATTTACCAACAGAAAAACTTCTTAAGTGATTTTGTAAAAAATTAGATTTAAAATTTATCAAACATTTTCCTACTGAAAATTTCAGTGCTAATATTAAAAAATAATTAAATATTAATAACGAACTTATCTGTAAAATATATTTCTAAAATAATATTTCAAAAATTAAAATAATTTATGAAAAAAACAATAATATTTTAAATAGACATTTCATATTTACGACAAAAAATTACGAGAAGAAGGGAAAAATAGGAAAGATGTGAAACATTGTGAAAAAATCGTAAGAAATGAGCAGGATTCACAATTTTTATGGTTAATGGTGAATTTTAATACATGAAAAGATAATACAAATTTTGTTTTTATTTTCTAAAAATTTAAAAAATTGGAAGTAATAGCGAAAAAGGGCGAAAAGTGTTGGATATTGCACCCATCGACATGGAAATAATTGTAACGTAAATATAGAAAAAAGTATATTATTATTTAAATATAGAAATTACAACGTAAATATTGAAAAAAAGTATATTACGTGGACAAGAGTTTAAAGAAGCGTCTCGTCAGAAACAGTGTTGTTGGATTTTATCATTGTCGCTTCCATATTCTGACTGACATCTTTAGCGAAAAAAAAAGTTGAAAAAAGTTTTGTGTTGATAATGGTGCTTTAAATAATTGCTTGGTTGAAACTTGAAAAAATCTGCATTTAATCAAATAATTGGCGTTACATGTTGTTTGTATGTTGTATTAAATCTGCATTTAGTCAAATAGATTGAGCTGAATTGCATTTTTTTTTTTTTTATACCCAGGTTTCCCAGCTTACACCATACTATATCTTGAATCACCCAGAACCGGTGCCTCAACTCTAGACGAAGGTAAATCGCGGGTTATGCTCAATCAATCCAGTGTCCATACAAGCTTTATACTCCTGGCCCCAAGGGAGCCTTCCTGCGTAGTGATGGCAATGGGGCGGGTTCGGAGCGGGGCACTCTCACCCCACCCCACCCCGCCCCACCCCGCCCCGCCCCGCCACTCCCCCACCCCGCCCTCGCCCCCGCCCCACCCCGCCTTAGATGGGGCGGGGCAGGGCGGGTACGGGGCGAGGACTTGCCCCGTTTCTTGCCCCATTT